CATTTGGAATGGACACAAATTCCCATCTGACATATGTCCATTCCGAATGGACATAAATTCCAAATGGACATACAACAATATCTACTTTCACTGTGTATACAAAATGATTGTTTCTCACGTTAGAGCATATTTGAGTATTATGAAAATATACAGTACTGTAATGCGGGGATAGTTGTAATGAGCATATGAATTAATTGGTCGTGTCACATTAATGTACTGCTAAAAGTGCCGAGAAATAGAGTTGTCTGATCTCACAATTAATAACATTTGTAATACAGTAATAGGAATATTCGTCTATCTACTGATTCCTATCGATGATAAGAGTATGAAACTTTCCCGCTTATTAAATGCAAAGGCCAACTGTTCTTTGACAATCGGAAAGTATGGACGGCAGAACAAACCGAAAAAAAAAAAGTCTCACTTTGACACTGTCCAATAATAACTCAATATCTTTCTTCTAGCGGTAAGCCTCGAATGTTAGTACTTAGTCGATACATCAAAACTTTTCATCTTTTCCAATTAGTCATTTCTCGCAAGCTCAATCTTTTCATATATCAGAAGTGTAACTTATAATATCTGATAATAGATGCGTACTACTTGCAGGCATTCCAAAACCTAATTTTTCTTGAATTAAATTAAGGGAAATACGGGTCTCCTCAATAAATATGAAAGATTATTCGCAGGATTTTCTTTTAACAGCACCACTAAATTCTCGGAGTTGCGCAAGCAACGTTCGAGATTGTCCTCAATGAGATTCAAATCCGGGGACTGAGCAGGCCAATTATTAACTTTTTCAGTAATACATGCCTTAAGTATTTTTAACCATATGAACGGTGTTGGAATTTATGTAATGATAGCGATTAATTGTTCAATTTTTTGCCCGAAAAACATCGACTATTTCGCCTAAAGATGTTCACTGTATGTATTTTTGCCAGTAGAGTGATGCACAAATCGAAATATAATCTTTATAAATTTAAACAACCCACCGGTTACTGACACGATAAGCAAAACATGATTAACTCCTGCACAAGGATTCTAAAAAGCGCTAGACCACTCACTTTTTTATCAAATGTTGGTATTTTATTATCTAATCAGTCTGTAGAAATAACTGACTTACATGTTCAAAAGTTAAGTTAATAAAAACAATAGCAATAAATATGTAGATATGATACCTCCCTCACCAAAAACTTGTAATATTCTTTTCACATTCGAGTTAAAGCTAATATTTCGCTAATGCTACTAGCAGCCGATAGCTTGCCTAACACTGATTGAGTACGCTCTTCCCTCATAACAACGTATTCGTGGCTTGTGGGCATTTGTATAATAATATATGAAATACATGTATTATTGAGATGTTGAAAATTATTATCTGCCGGATCGTCGTTCGTCGTATCAGAATGAGGGACGGAGGGGCCACAGAGTTTCTGAAAAGAACCTGGAAGCGGACAAGAACTGTTTTCGACTTGATCGTGGGGAGGTGGATTCTGCTGCCCACTCCTCGTGTCAACGTTACCATATTCTGAGAGATTACCTTGATACGATGCGTAATCGCCTGTATAAGTTCCGGTATCTCCGTAGTCCATACTATTCATAGACATCGCATCGACATTGTCGGAGAGGAAAACGGAAGTAGCAGAAGGGAGGAAATCTTGAATACGAGATGGGGGTTGCAAATTAACGGGCATGTAACTTGGAGGATTGATGTCATCAAAATTGAAGTCCTCCGGGAAAGTCGTCGATTGACAGATGTTGTTATAATGTTCGATATAATCGTTGTTCATATTATTCGGTTCGCTCATTGTATCAATGTTATTAGGAAGGAGAGAGTACCAAGTACAAATTTTTGGTTTTAATGATTAAGACTTTTCGTGTTTTACTCGCACTCGTTAGGAGCTTTATATATAAGGACATCTATTTGTGGAATCATAGTCGCCCTATTTGTGGAACGCAAAATTCAGAGGAGTCCTATTTGTGGAACGCAAAATTCAAAGAATCCTATTACTGTGCCTAAATAAAGACCTCGAAACCTCAAAGAATCCTATTACTACTTGAACTCGAAACCTATTTGTGGAACGCAAATCCTATTTGAACTCGAAACCTCAAAGAATCCTATTTGTGGAACGCCGCATTTTCTCTTCGGTTCAAGAAAAGAGAAGGCAAATACTAAAAGAAATCCGCTCGCAAAAAAGCCGCCGTCCTGACATTACATAACTTATTTCCTATCTATTCATACCTTCTTTAATCAAATGCTGCTTCTTGTAACTTCTCTCACCTTTAACCCACCACCAGTCAGTTCCAATCACAAAAAAAAAAAACAAAAAAAACTTTCCCATCTACTCAGTGACTCACCAAAAAGATATTTTCATGTTCAATGGATTATCATCTCGTAATGGAACTCTTCGTGGGCGATAGCGATAATCCGATCCGGATATTTCTTCATATGTTCTTGCTTGGCCGTTGGTTTTGACACATATGTCTGAGCATAGCTTGTTTATGAATAACACAAAAGAATCGATAGAGTGCTTGTCAAACTAGGCGATCTGATTGATGCTAGGGGGATGGATTGAGTATGAAACGGTAGGTAGCAAAGCTGGGGGGCAAAGACACTCATACGTTTTTAGTCATTACATTCCTGCTTTCAGTGTTCGTCTACCACTTTGTGCTATTCTCGTTGGCAGTTATATCTCATTTCAATCATTTCTCTCTAACGCTTGCGCTATGAAATTCATCAAGAGCGATTTTCCACTAGTCCTCCAGTCTCGCACCGACGACGCTAGTAGGGTTAAAACTTAGATTCAATTTTTCCATGCAACGTTCTGTCTTCAACTTTCGACATCTCGTGCGAGGTGGATGAGAATGGATTCGCAAGTGTGATCTTGCCAACTACGTGGCGGAGTTTTTTTGATATATCATTGATCACGGCTGGAGATTGAGTACGCTCGAATTTTGAAAGCTTACGTGCTCTTGGAAGAGTACTATTCACAGAAGGTGAGGCAGTGGATTTGGTTGGGATTTGGTTGGGATTTGGTTGAAGTCGTGATATTTGAACTGTCACTTTATTTTTATAGTCGCGCGATATCCGAAAACTTCAAACTGCGCAAGAGCTTCCCAAATACTCAATGGCATCTTACGTAAGTCGTCACAAACATTAACCTTTATTATAAACATATATTTTAATAAACAATTAAGCTGTCGTATGCTAAATCTTCATTATCACATTCTTCTCAACTCTATAGGGTCCTTTCCTCTTCAACTGGTTTGTGTATGGATCCCGAGAGAGTCCCATTGAGTGTGTTTAGAATAAACTCGGACAAGAACGAATTCTTTAAACTTGACAACACTAATGTCTTGTTCTTCACACTTGCTATTACCGCATCAACATTTTTTTTTAAGTATATAACACACTTAGATTGACATCATTGCAGGCATTGGTTATGATAACCATGGACTGCGTGTCACCGCTTGAATTGTTAAAACCATCTTGGAAGATGGCAATCTGTTATTTTATAACCTAGTGAGGATGTGTTAATACCATCAGATGCTCTGGTCATGTGTTTGATATATCTTTCCGAATGCTTGCAAAAATCAATTGTTTCATTATTCATGAGACGTTGTGCGAATGAAAAACTGACCAGGCCAATCAGCGACAACAGGAATTGCATAGTTGGAAAGGTATGTTTGCATTGGCTCTCGATTGTACAAAATTTGGTGTGTCGCTTATCCCTTTCAACGAAATCGATAAGTATAGAGTTCTACAGTGTGCGTTAGATCATCGAAGATGTGATAGCATTGTTCACTGGTTGGTCGTTTTTCTGAATCATTGTCCCAGCACTCTGTATATAAAACTTTGCCAAGTTTCTTTCGGACTGAATACATCAATGTATCTTAGTTTTAAGACTTTTTGGTGTATATCCGATGGCTTCGTCTCTCCATTAGTCTGCCATCATAGCTGTTAGTTCTTCTATGATCTGTTCACCAGAGTTCTCCTCTCCGCAAGCGATCTTTATAAGACACTTAAAATTTACAATGAACCGCTCGTCAAGATGGTTTATAATCACAATGGAATTGGCTATCCCGGGACATGGTATTGCTGGCATCGGGCATGGATCCGCTAAGGTAGTTGTCATATGTACGTAATGAAGTAGACTGAAATCTTGGGTAAATTTCTGAATGTATGTGTCTTCGGTATCTTCCTGCATGTATGTGAATGTTGTGATAATCGTCAACGTTTAGCGCAAGAGCTGTTGCGACAGAGCATCGCTACGTATTCTCCGTGCGTGTCGAACATTCTTTTGCTGTTTTTAGTCACACCGAGGTTTGCCATAGTGTTTAATCGTTCATTTGCTCGTTTTCTGCTGAATCCAAATAGTATGTAACATCAAACTTAAAGCATTAATTTTCGTATTATTCAACGAAGCAAGCACGCAGATAGCAGATGAAACCCATTACGTTTTCCATACAGACCATCGTTTGCTTGTTACGCTCAAACGGTCGAGCTGCCGAATAAAAAGTCATTGAGAGCAGAGTCACTCCCTCTAGTATGTCTCGCATTTCATCGAATACATAGATTAGACCCTTTTCTCTACCACTCTCTTTCATAAAGAATTTTACCATTGTCTCGATGGCATCAGCAAGCTCGAGTTTTGTAGCGGGCGTACTTTCACTTCCCCCTTCTTATATAGCACACACAACGACACCTTCCACTGTCTCAAAAGTACTACGCACAGTTGAAAACCGTTGTGTTTTTTTTTTTTACGAAGTCACTGTTGGAAGTGGATTTACTAGTTCTTTTTTTCGCTTTCAGAAAAGACATTGTGTGGTCACTGAGATATTGACCTTTTTTGCTAACTGGGTGTTTATTGATGACTCTTCCTTGTGTGGCAAATTTTATCGCCGTAACACGTTTAAGCAACAAGCTCCTATTGGCTGGAGTATGTGAAAAATGGAGACTAATGTGACCAAGAATATTGGAAAGCTAATTTAATAAAATACTTATAATAATAATAATGCACAAAAATACATGAATTATCCAAAATATTCTTTCTCATAATAAAGCTAACACTTCGCCAATGCTAGCAGCTGGTACCCTGTCCAACACTGATTGAATTCGTACTTCTTTCGTAACCACAAATTCGAGGCTTGCGGGCTCGTTGAATACATTAGAGTTGTTGAATGAAAGCGATGCTTGCGTGTGCATTGGCGTAAGAGTATATGTAATAGTAATAGATTGACTGCTGATCGTACCAAAATGTCCGTTGGACGAGCCACAGAGTGGACAAGAGCTATAAGATTCGACTTGTTCGCGACTCGATGGATTCAACTGTTCATTCATGGCGTCATCTTGATACGATGTTGTATGATTTCCAGTATTTCCGTAGTTGATAGTATTCATAGACGTCATATCAACATTACCGCTGAAAGGAAAGAAAGTGGCAGGAGGACGGACATCTTGAGCATAAGGCCGTTGGGCTTGCAGCATTCGACTTGGAGAATTAGTATTCATATACGTCATATCTACATTACAATGGAGAGAAAAAGAAGTAACATGAAAGCAGATATTTTGAGCATGAGGTTGTGCTTGCAAACTAATATTAGTATTCATAGACGTCATATTGATATTACCATCGAGAGAAAAAGAGGTAGCGTGAGGACGGACATCTTGAGTATGAGGTTGATGGGCTTGGGCTTGGGCTTGCAAATTAACATACTTTTGAATTGTAGGATTAGAATTGAAGCTCTCCGGTTGATAAATGTTGTTATAAATTCCGATATAATCGTTCATATTATTAGGTTCGCCCATTGTATCAATGTATTTGTGGAGCGGGGGAAAAATGTTTCCTGGAAACCTTTTATATATAAAACAATGTTCCCAAAATTTTTGATAAGAATTTTTGAACGATATGTTTTATTTAGTGTATATTTTCATAGTACACAAATATACGCATCATCTACTCTAAAATAACGCATTTTTTTTTGTCACGCAATTTAAATTGTACAACGATGTGAGATGTTTTTCCGCACAAGCCCACAGGACCCGTTTTTTTTGTGGGAGGGCATTGTTCCAAGATGATATATGACTGGGTTTTAAATACTCTAAACAAAAGCGATTAAACAGAAGCATGCGACAAATAAACAACAATCGTCATAAGGGATTCATTTTAGCGTAGATGTATTATGAAAACGTATACTAATAAAATATACAGTAGATGTCTTACATCATTAGAGAGAGAGAAAGGTAGCAGAAATGCTTATTATATCAATGTTATTCGGAAGAGAGTACAGAATAAAAATGTTGTGTTCTGACTGAGAACGAAGTCTTTGATTGGGAATATAAAATGAATAAAACACGACTCGAAGTATATGTGCAGTATATAATCAAATTGGTTCAAACTTTTTATATACCTCTATATTATAATATTAACTTACATATTAATTATATTGGTTATCTCGTATTATTATAAACTTTATATTCAAAAATTCATACAATTACTATTGTTGCTGATGCATCATTAAATAGTACTTGTGTAACAGGGGGATAGTACAGCAGTTAATAGTTCCCGAAGAAACAAAGACAAAAAACAAAAAACTGATATGTGAAATATCGATAACTAATTGTAACAATGGGGTATTTTGTAGCTGATATCACTGATTGAGTTTTCTCTATTTTCGTAGGAGCCTTGTGCGCTCATTCTTTACGTGAGCCGTTAAAAATGCAATGTGATGCATTGGCATAAGAATATATGCAAGATATCGATTCCTGTCGGACCGTTGGACGAGTCACAGAATGGACAAGAGCTGCTGTTCCGTAGTTTCGACTTGATTGCGAATCGATGTATTCAACTGCCCATTCATGGAGATGTTCCGGAACTGGAACTGGTTGGTAATAAGAGATAGCATGGAGACAGAAAATTTTCTGAGTATAAGGTTGGGCTTGCAAATTAATATTAGAATTGAAGCCCTCCGATTGATTGACGTTGTTTAGATTATCAAGTATAAATTTTATTAGTGGGCAGTAAAGAAAATGGGTTTGGTGGGTTTTTTTTTTCTTTTTCCAAATTTGGTTTAGATCTTGGTTTATTAATGGGAACAAAATGGACACAAAAAAGGAAACGAATGTGAACATAAAAATCGACTCCTACAGATGTTAAGGCAAACATCAGCGTTGTCAGGGCTGAAAATACACAGTGTGCTTGTTTAAGTAGCAGCAGAAACTTATTGCTCATGGACATAACGATATTAATTTTTTATTTTCGCTCTTCTGTTGCAGATCATCTACGCATTTAGTTACAGGCGCAGAATAAGGGGGAATTGATGTTTCATTCCCTGTTCCTGTCTAAAAATAGAAATAGGAACAAAAAATGAGAAAAGGACCGCTGTTATTTATTTTGATTGACTGTGTATATTTAACATCCGAATATTACATAACTATATAATTCGCAGCACATTGCGAGTTATGGCTGAATGCACGCCTATATAGCGAGAGTCAGCATTTTATTGATAAAACATCCGTTTACTCTACTGTGTTGTATCCATCGACATTTATAATGATTACGTCTTTTGTGTTGTTGCAAAAGAAATAATTGTAAACTCTATACAACATCATTGATTAGTCATCAACGACCAGGTAATTCTTTACTTATCTGTTAATATTAAACGAAAGCAACGATTAACGACTGCATTGAACAGGCAATTATAATAATGTCTCTAACACTACGTATAATATTCGACGCTAGTACTGGTGCAAATGGGTTAATATTAATCCTGATTATTCCTGCATTATCGAATATAAACATTTATAGAATGTATAGTATATAATTAAATAAATCTATAGTATATACTTTATGTTTATAATGTAGTATATTCGGTGTGTTCAACAAAGACCGCAACTGTTGAAACGATAGTTTTTTATCTAATCATTCAAACTTTACCGAATGTAACCACTACGGCTTTTGAGTTAGTGAATTTCAACGCATTAACACTCGTATTCATCGGCAAAGGGAATTGTCACGTCGATTTCTTTTATGAATATACTACATTGATATTACCATCCGTTTGAAAAGAGAACGGGCAATTAGTAACTACTTTGGTGATGTGCCATTATCGTAAAACTCCACAATCGCATTATATAGTATTTCCCTAAGCACACATTGAAATTCCACATATGTGTATTGTTTTTTGCCGGGGAAGTATTTTACCATTTTTTATTTTATTTTATTTGGATTGTTATCTTTTTTCAAAATGCAGTTCTCGCCAGAAGACCTTGCTCATAGATAAAATTAGCATCAAGGTTCCTTGACAGTATACCAGTTGCTAAATCCTGAAGCCGAAAACCAAACGGTACATATATTTTTTCACTTCAAGGTTGGTGATACTTTTTAGAATGTCAGAAGGTAATGTTACATTAATTTATTTAGTATTTGCGTAGCGGTATGTTTACGAAGAAGTCACTATTGTAACGATACAAATGTACTTGGAGCAAGTTATTATACAATCGACGTGTAGGTGTGTATGGGAATAATGAAGTAAAAATAAAAGTCTTATATTAATTATTTTCATCGGTTTCTCTAATTTTATAACTTCAAGGTAATACATTTCAAAATCACGATCTTTAGGTAAGTCCAAAATTCCAAATTCAGGTCTCTCAATTCCTGTAACGATCGCTCCTATCAAATTAGCGTTGACAGTCTATGATTAAACAATATCTTTCGTAGCAGATCAACCATTAAGTAATTTTCCCACACATAAAATGCCATAAGAACAGCGTTCTCTTTAAGACTCTTGGCTTTTCAGGACTTACAGTAATTGAAAAATTGTAGTTATTACCGGAACCAAATACTAAACGAAAGAAATGATACGATCAAACGTCGTTGCAAATTCATGACGGTGTGCTCACCAACAAGTACGAAACCTTTCCCAATGCCAGTACGAAACCAGCATGGTACAGTCCCCGGCGAAAAGAATGGCGGCTAGTATTTTTTTAATATGTCAATTTTGTTCTTATTATTTTTTAAAAAAATTTTATTTAACAGAAGTTCAAGACTAATATTATAACTTGCAAAAAAACCAAGATGAAAAGTGGCTTTATTTTAGATCTATATTAATTTAAACCTAATATTATGAATAAAATTTTGAGTAAGTCGACAAGAAGCAATGTAAAAGCTTTTTTACATTAACAGGTTAGACTATATCAGGCAAAAAAATATCTTTTGACTTGTAATCTTCTAGATTTTAATTAACAAGTCTAAAAACGCAAACATCTTATAGTAGATTTGAGACTGTTATTATAAGTTTATAGTCAATCCAAATCTCACTGAGATTATTAAAATGCAAATATAAAGACAAGGATATTTTTAATTATGCCTGACATATTAAGTAAATAAGAAAAGTAATAATACATTTACATATTACTATAATAACAGATCACCGATTTTTGTATCGAATTTTTATAAAAACTTTAAAAACAATTGTCACCGCCATTCTTTTCGCCGGGGACTGTATATACATTTCCGGTATAAACAGAGTTGACTGTAGTTTAATGTGCATGTTTTTAGCTTGGTAATGATACACATTTACATTAATGATTCCTATATTCTTCGGCACTACAAGCACATTTGTGTATCACAATTTAGAAACAAAATTGTACAAATATAATTGAAAGTATTACCATCTTCTAAAGCCTTGAAGAGGCGTGAGATAGTTTCTACAATGTAGGTTCCCTCATTGTAGTCTTTGAGATGATTCTGCCCAATATTGACACGTCCCCTTTAACGTGATCCCGCAAAAAAAATTTTCGCCAAGCCACACATGCGTATAGTCATGTGATCCTCCGATTTTTTGCTCATTCTTTTTTGTGGTTTATTTAATTCAGCATTTGAATAAAGAAAATGGGTAAATCATATTTACGTTATGAACCCTTAAAAACTTTAGGGATTATATGTAGTTCCTCTTCTAATACAATATATGATGCAAGTGGTAAACTCGCAGTATCCCCCGCTTTAGAAGATATCATAATATGGGATTTAAAAAAAGGCATACAGGTACATTATATTAACATCACTTTTTCATATCAATATCATAACCATCATCAACTCATATATCGACTTTTCTTTTTCGAACACAGATATCAAAATTGCACAATGCAGACAATGAATCCGCAGTAACCTCGATCCTTAGATCACCCAATAACCAAGACTATGCCGTAGGCTATTCTGATGGATCGATTCGTATATGGAACAGTACTAATTTCACTACATCACTCAATTTTAATGGACATCGTGGAGCAGTTACTGCTCTTGCATTTGATGCGACTGGAACGCGTCTTGCGTCTGGGTCCAAGGACAATGATCTAATTATATGGGACATAGTCGGGGAAGTGGGATTGTATCGTATGCGTGGACATAAAGATCAGATTACTGCCGTAAAGTTTCTATCTGGAAATAATGACACGTCATATGGCTTTTTGTTATCATCATCTAAAGATACTTTGCTGAAAGTATGGGATTTAAGTACGCAGCGTTGTGTGGAAACTGTTGTTGCACATAGAACGGAAATCTGGGACTTTGATATTTCAAGTGATCAGACGTTGTTGGTCACTGGGAGCAGCGAACCTGGGTTGAAAATTTGGAGGATTGATAGAGAGCTGCTGGATAAGGGATTAGATGGATTGGTTGGAGATGGAGATATTGAAGATGGTATCAAGGTAATAATAGTAACAATAGTACCGTAAGATTTTAATGAATGTATCATTTAATATGTCATGTTGCGTTCATATTTAATATCAGAATATTAAGGGATTATCCTATCAATAGACAACTAAGAAATCGATTATTTTCTACGGTGACGTCCAAAGACAAAGTCAAGAACGTGTGATCACTATCAAGTTTCACCCCTCAGCAAATATTCTTGCTGTGCAAGGCGCAGACAAATTTATTGAAATATTTTATCTCCGCGCTGCAGATGAGATAAAACGTAAGATTGCTCGTCGTCGTAAAAGAGAAAAAGCAAAGCAAACAAAAACGGGAGAAATAGCAGATCCAGATGAAGAGGTCACTATAACTGCTTCAGACGAGATATCCCACTACCAAACGTTGATTACAACTGCCAAAGTTCGATCCTTTGATTTCTCTCCGGGGGATGATGCAATGAAAACTGGTATCGTGCACGTAAGGGTCGAGGAGAAAGTGATTAAGACAAAACAAAGGAACTATGTATGGTTCGCGTTGACATTTACTTTTGTTTTTAGGTTCTAGCTTCGTTGACTAATAATACTCTCGAAGTGTACTCGATGGCCATTCCCAAGAAAAAGTCGAAGGCACCAAAGGAGAGTAACCGATTGCATACAATTGAATTGCCGGGACATAGAAATGACGTCAGGACACTTGCTATTAGCTCAGACGATGGGATGCTCTGTTCGGCATCCAAAGGTAAATTGAATTTGGATCAAAGAATTTCATTGCATAATGTTTATATTGATCTTTTAAATTATCAGATACTCTCAAAGTATGGAACGTCAAGACGTCATCGTGTATTCGCTCGATGTCGTGTGGATATGCACTCTGCAGTGCGTTCTTGCCTGGAGACCGACATGTAAGTAAATATATTATATATTAGTGCTTTCCTCACATCGAGTCTTTTCTTGCCTTTTGCTTGGTTTACTTATAACTTCATCCACACGTGCGCCAGATTCTCCTCGGAACTAAATCTGGTGAACTTGAATTGTTCGACCTCGCTTCCTCATCTCTAATTGAATCAATCAAAGCACATGAAGGACCCATATGGTCGCTACAAGTACGGCCAGATAGGAAAGGAGTAGTTACCGGTAGTGCCGACAAGCAAGTGAAGTTTTGGGATTTTGACTTAGTCGAGAATGAAAAGGCGGTATGAAACAAAAGGTTTTGATTGAGATGTGTTTTTTTGTAAATAAGTATCGGAAAGAGTGTGACCGAATAGAACAATACTGTTTAGTCTGGGCCAAGGAGACTCACGTTAGTACACATGCGGACGTTGAAAATGACGGATGATATATTGTGTGTGAGATATAGTCCAGACCAAAAGTTTATCGCTGTTGCGTTACTGGATTCGACTGTTAAGGTATTTTACCACGATACGCTGAAATTTTTCCTATCTCTCTATGGACACAAGGTAACTAGCAGGCGTGGAGATTTGAGTACGGGTTCTGTGAGGTCGTTTCTGACTGTTTTCTCCTATACATCTTGCAGTTACCGGTACTGTCGATGGACATTTCATTTGATAATAAATTACTCGTAACAGCTTCAGCTGACAAGAACGTAAAGATATGGGGTCTTGATTTCGGCGATTGTCACAGGTCGATATTTGCCCATCAGGACAGTATTATGTCCATTCTATTTGCACCTGACAGTCATTATTTCTTCACTGCCAGCAAAGACAAGTTTATAAAATACTGGGACGGAGATAAAGTATGACTATCGTTTTGTATTATACTGTATGCTGGATTAGATTTTTCTCATCGTTTACTGTTTATGTAGTTCGAGAACATTATGAAACTCGAAGGCCATCATGGTGAAGTGTGGTCTCTGGCCATAAGCAAACGAGGTGACTTTATAGTCTCTTCTTCACATGACCGCTCTATCCGTATCTGGGAACAAACGGACGAACCACTATTTCTGGAAGAAGAACGGGAGAAAGAAATGGAAGAAATGTACGAGGCGACGCTGACTGCTTCGATGGAGAAGACTAGTCTGAACGATAGTACCGTTGAAGTATCGACGGCAGGAAAACAGACTATGGAAACGCTTAAAGCAGGAGAAAGGATTATAGAGGCAATCGAAATTGCTGATGAAGACAAAGCTGTTTGGGAGGAATATAATCAGGTATGTTAGACAATTATTATGAATTGAATAGTATTTTTTTGTCCGCATACTATTATATAAGGCAGACTTTTAAATTATACATTTGTTTTCCTTCTAGCGGAGAGAGACTTGTATGCATCCTGGTCCACCTCCCACTCGCAATCCGATACTTGTTGCATTGGGTAATTTGACAGGGGATCAATATTTATTAAGAATAGTAGAGAAAGTTAGATCTACTGAATTAGAAGAATCGCTGCTCGTCTTACCGTTTGGGAAAGTTATATCTCTCCTAAGTTATCTCGATTCATGGGCAAAGAAGGTGTGTATCTCTTTATAAGAAACATGTCTATTCTATAGAACTAAATGGACTAACCGCATCACCCGCACACTGTGTTAGGAATGGAACATTCCTTTGACATGTCGGATACTGTTTTATTTATTGAGGGTACATCATGATCAAATAGTGGCAAATAGGCTTCTGAGACCAATGCTTGGTTCAATACGAACCTACTTGCGTGCTGCATTGCAACGGCAGAAGGTAATAGAATACTACACTTTGCATGTCCATTTAGTTTCTAGTCAGTGAGTTTATTAATAAATATATTATGCCTACAGGACATGTTGGGATACAATATTGCGGCTCTTAAATACGTAAAACGCGAATATGAAGCGAATACGACTGCAGAATTCTTCGACGAACAGAAAATCGACGAAATCAAAAACGCTGCACTCAAGAAACGCAAATTTATAACTCTGGCAACATGATCTACAGGGACTTTTTCTCGGCATGCGCATTCCCTTGTTTGACCGAGGGATCCTTTGTGTATGTCTTTCTGAAGAATCGGATGAAGAGAATAAGAAATGTTCCATTACAGAACATGGAAAAGAGAAATGCTTTGAATCCGTATTTGCAGTTGTTGGTAAAGTGAAAATAGAGATAAGGAACGGATAGAATGAATGATGTAGAGAATTGTATTATTTGACCACTAGTTATATATTTCTTGAACCAGACGGAGCGCCCAAGTGATGCGTTGAAGTAGTAGTAATACATGAATACGTGGATGAGAGTGTTAGCTATCATCCCAATGCTAGAGTGATGGAATAAGGTGATTGTTATGTTAATAGAAATAGCCATGAAGAAGGATATTACTCTGTATCGCCTACTTACCTTGCATACATATTTGCATCCTCCAGCCATGACCATACCATGAGAATGACAATTGCATGATGATACCAGTGGAGAAAAATAATCGGTTTCTATTTTGAATGTACATTGTATAATATTATGGATGACGTGTTTGGGTCTAGTTATAGCAAGAACATGTTCGCACCTTCTTCAATGCCAGTATGACTGTATCCAATAATTCGTAATACTTTGACAGATAATATATGTATGTGATGTAGAATAACCTTCCCTTAAGAGCATTTTCATCAGATGTACAGAAGCATTCTCCAATTCCACGTGACTGCTCAAAATTACTTGTTAGCAAGTGATTACCATTACATGATAGTTATTCATGCATACATATAATCACCTTCCATCTAGAGTAGAAGTCTACAATGCCATATGCACACATGAGAGCAGACCACACACAAAGGATAAGATTGTGCACAGCAGTAATCATACGAAGGGACGTTGGCGGTCTGCTTTCCATGAATTTCTACATCAGACATTCACTAAATATTAGAACAGACGCAATCGATGCTTCAGCATATGCAAAATCCACCGACTTACCCTACATCCCATCACAACAGCGAAGTACGCTACCCATGCACTAACGATCACCTATTTGACGAAAGGAAAGATTAGAATTTATTTCAAACTGGTGTGATTAGAAGTCATATTAACCCTTAGAGCAAAATACCGCTAGATTGGAGAACGGCGTAACTCCGAGAGACCAACTAAATTCATTTGGGGAAGTCAGCTGTGAATAATCCCATGAGTATGAATACATTTTTAGGAATTTAGATTGTTGATTTTCAAAAGAGGAGGTATTGTGTTGACACATCCAAATGTAATTTATTGGTGCACGGGATTATTGTAATGTGATAATCCCAAGGGTCACACACAACCATGCAAAATTTATAGATGTTACTACAGTCAACTGTCTATAATTCGATCCCAGATTATCGATCGAATTAACGTACAAGTCGAATTATCGTCAGTTAATTACAATAGAAATAATAATAAATGTCAAAAAATGTTCTGTAACCAGCGGTCGAATTAACGTAGAAATCGAACTAAAGAAGGTCGAATTATCGGCAGTTGACTGTAGCCGATACAGTACTATAAATAATATAATAAAGCGAACCAATTGCGTGAATACTTCGTCGATTTCGATTTCTCAGTTTTGACATTCATCACAATATATAAGACAAAAGAGCGAAGTCCCAAATGCTGTATGTTAAAGAATTACTGCTAAGGACATTTAGAGTATTGTGCTTAAAGACTTTCTAAAGGATCGACAATATCGAAGAGTCATTTGTGAAAAATCCCGGATATAGTTGGCTAGCTGAAGAAACGGATCTTCAGGAATGAAAGTGTGTGGCTCATCAAAACCCTTTTGTTTTTCACTAAAATTTAACATTTATTGATATCAAGAAAGCTGAAAGTCTATGAAAGAGAATCGTTGCAAGAGTGCATTAAAAGGTTATTATAAAATTTTCATGATAGAGTGCATGGAATGAGACTATCAGTTTATGTTACTATAATTTTGTGTCCTTATTAAACGTAGCTTTAAAATGTGTAAGAGAGTTGAATAAAATAGGCAAAGAATACGAAGGATTGCAATCTCTATAAATACAGTTCTAAAAAAGGCAGTTCGTGGGTTTAGTATCGCATCTAGGAAAGGCTGAACACAACGTCAAAAGATGCGGTCCCGCTAATTTTAGTAAAACGGGAGAGTGATCATCTCATTCTTTCGAAATATCAATGAGAACATAATTCAGAGTTCTTTAAGGCTAAGGTTGAAAATGAGTTCTACATCGGTTTTCTCACTGTCCGACAAAGCATGTTGCGAGGGCTTTGAGATGTTAAGCAAAACAAACGACGGAACTAAAATATTGGATTAGAACGTGTGGTATTGCTCTGACGGTAATTACTATTGAGGGAATAAGGTCCCCGGAAATTTGTTTGTTATTTTCATTTTGTCCAGTTTAGTTACTATTAACGAAATAATGAAGATTATTGGCCAGACCATAAGTGTCGAGTGATTGGCTGATGAACGGATAAAAATTAAGTAATTGATATTCATCTCTTGGGCGAAGGGTTATTTATTTAAAATTCTATTGTAGTGTATCAAATTACACTGTGTATAATAATGAAGGTATGTAAAAGTGATTATCAAAGACGGGGAACTTATGGAGACTGCATTACTGTCATCTTCATGTTCTCATAATCTGTCTCTTGAATGTGATATCATTCAAGGTATGATAGTGAAGTATTCAAATTGATAATCAACTGACAATGCACGATTTTTCTTATACTCATGCTCTGCGTCTGTCTAATTTTCGTTCCTTACAATTATCACGTTTTTATTCTTTTACTTACTCAACACATTCTCGTTCCAACACTTTTCTATCCCCCCGTTGACAATAAATAGTTCGGTAAGCAAATATTAAATCAACGGATCCCGGAGTGGTCTAACCACTACATGAACTACAAAGCATTGAAAAAAATTATCAACAGTTTACAGAATGCTCCCAATGGCAATGATAGACCAATGCCCCCAACATCAATCACAATTGCTGCTAGACCACCTCCGATATACACAGAAGCAGTTCAGATCGATGAAACCCAGACTTTTTTGCATAAGCAGAAAGCCTCTTTCTTCTTTAGGCTCGAACGTGAGTTGGAAAAAGTAAACACTTTTTATTTGCGCAAGGAAAACGACTTCAAAGTTCGTTTACGTACATTGATTGACAAGAAGAAATTCTTGCTTACACGTGAGAAGAGGTTATCTGCTGGATCAGCTTCTATTACAGCATTGAAAGAGGCGTTTCTTACGTTTCAGTTGGATCTCAATAAGCTGCAGGTAATTTTACAATTGTTTGACATTCTTGGTAATAATCAATGTTCACTCAGGATTATCTTATAACGGTCATACTACCTTCTCATTGCATTCTCCCTTTCTACTACTCTTCCTATTCTATGAATAGCAATTCATAGAGATTAATGCAACAGGATTTCGTAAAATTCTCAAAAAATGGGATAAACGCAGTAAATCAAGTACAAAAGAACTTTATTTTGCCCGTCAAGTAGAAAGCCAACCATGCTTTAATAGAGACACTATTACAGAGTTGGCAGACAGTGCTTCCGGAAATATAGTAGAATTAGACAGTTTCACCAATGGGCTGCCCATCAACCACTTCCCATCTCCATCAACGCCAGAGAGAACCTTGCTGCGTACCCCCGAACAGTTAGATGTAATAGATGACATCGAAACAGAGCTATTCAAGGCAATAACAAGCGGGCCATCTTCTGTAGGACAGGAAATACTCGAACGTATTCGCCAACATCCAGAAGATCGCCACTACGTCTCACGTGTATTCTGGCGAGTATGTTCAGAAGGTCCGCTAGATGCTATTCAGACACTAGTTAATACTGGATTCGTCGATTTTACTTACAAAGATGACATCAGCGGAAGAACATGTCTGCATGAAGCAGCAATAATCGGTCGACTGTCACTAATGAAGTTGTGTGTTGAACACGGAGTACAGATAGATTTGCAAGATGTCTATGGTCGTAGATCATTGCATTATGTTGCAATGTATGGACACAGTGAAGCTACAAGTTACCTTCTGTTGGCTGGCGCAAGCGTATCGAGTTTTGATAATGATGGATTCAGTCCGTTAATTTATGCTATTACCAATGGAAATACTGAATGCGTGAAGATCTTACTTGATAATAAGGCATCTATTATGCCTCAGAATGAAGGTGATCATATTCCGTTGTCGCTCGCATGTCAATATGGACACAAGGATATCGCAATGTTATTACTGGACAAAGGAGCAAAGATAATACCGGATGCCGAGGGATTGTCCCCATTGCATTTATCTTGTCGCGAAGGCCACCACGAGCTAGCTAAATTGCTAACAGAGAAAGGTGCCCTTCTTGATACACCCGACAAATACAACGGATGGACCCCGATATTTTATGCAGCAAGCGAGGGTCATATCGGATGTGTCAAAGTATTACTGACTGCTGGATGTCAGGTGAATATAACAGATGAATTAGGCAATACTCCGATTTATTATGCTGCATGGGAAGGTCATATTGAATGCATAAACCTACTGTCTGATGCTGGTGGGAGAGCTGAATCACAAGAGCCGCGGGATGAGGCGACAACTTTATCAACGGCCACCCGGGTTCCCACAACTTCTACAACAGCTCTTACTTCTAATATATCTATATCTGATACTTGCGTAAACATGCACCCTCTTATCCTCCCACCTCCAATTATCCCTCTTTGCATATATGGTCACAACTATCTCGACAAGAAATACCACGTTCAAGTAACTCTTGGTCACCACTCTTCCAACCGACGACGTCCCCCTGTGCATCTCTACGGTAATAGCAAAATATCCTCCCTTAAACTGATTATATCCTCAAAACCAGATATGGGCACTATTCCACACAGTGTAATACTTCCCCTTGGCGACGATCGGGAGTTATTCTCCTTTCAAGTCGATTCATTAAGTAACTTTTCGCTTGAGTTCGATATATTTCCTACTTTTGGATCACGCGTTATTGGGAAGGGGGTTGCTCTTCCATATATGTTCGATGTAAGTGATGGACGAGAGCGAAGAAATAATCTTGTTCATGGTGGTACTGGTGGAATATGTATATGTCCATTATTTGATACACATTTGAAAGTTGTCGGTGAAGTATCATTTGAATTCGCTATTGTGAAACCGTTCCAAGATGTTCGGTTAGAAATTGGAGGCAGAGTAGAGACATATTGGAAATCGACAAATACTATCACGCATCCCGTATCGAATGAGCAAACACCACCACCACCGTTAGGAACTAGCGGAATCATTCAATCGTTCATCACTGCGACTTCGCTGTCTGGAGAGTATGTCCAGGTGATTGTGCAAGTGACGAGAGACATGGTCGCGGTTGTTTATCCCGAATGGATGCTTCCTGTGGATGAATTCGATCTCAGTGTTTCCGACGTTACTCTGGACCAGTTTAAATCTATAGGAGAGAAAGAACTTCGTGATGGAGGTGACCCTATTGATTTTAACTCTGCAAAGAATACTTCCGATTTGTCAAAGATGATTCGTAGATCGTTCTTGTCATTGAAAGAGTTGTTGACCAGTCTGCCTGCCTCCATTGGAGTCAACTTGGAAATCAAATATCCAACTGTGCGTGAGATGGCGCGGTACTGGTTTTCTGACATCCCGGATATCAATAGTTACGTGGATACGATATTGCAGACGGTGTATGATCATGCTCAAAATTATCATTTAAAGGATGGAAGTGGAGATCAGGCTGAAAGTATGAATGCAAGAAGAATCATGTTTTCATCATTTAATCCAGCTATTTGCACGGCTCTGAATTGGAAACAACCAAATTGTACGTATTAGTTAACTAGGAGTTGTGACTAGTCAAAGTTCAGGTGTTGATGTCAATATAGTATTCGAATTATTAGTAAACGGCTGGGATATTTAGGAGTAACGATAGTTGCTATTATGCATACGATACTGATTTAATACGATACTGATTTAACTGTTTTCTCCCATCTCAGATGCCGTATTTTTCAATTCCTATTGCGGATTCGGCGATGAGCGCATTTACCGTGGAAAGAAGCGAAAATATAGTGATGAGAACAAAGACGACAATGTTGAAGACTATAAGGGGCGCGATACTTCTATTAAGGAGGCAGTCAAATTTGCAAAGGGGAATAATCTTCTTGGGCTTATTTGCGAGGCTACGCTGTTGGTAAGTGTTTATTAATGACATGATGCTTTATATTGGAAGATTTTTTTTTGAGCGCTCTACAATAATGTTAATCCTTCGTAGGTGCAAGTACCATCGCTAATAACGTATGCAAAAGAGGCCGGTTTGATACTTACTACATTCGGCACATCCAATAACGATCCCCCTAACGTACGATTGCAGATACGCTATGGAGTCGACGCGTTGATGGTAGACGGTGTGATAAGATACAATGGCTCATTGAATTAAATACTGTATTCTATCATATAACTTATATTTGTATGTATATAATCATATTTATTAACGACTCTACAATTATTATTATTCTCTCCACGCGGAACTGCGCTGATTTCAATCATGTCCTGTTGATCTCCGCCTGAATTGTCTGATAAAGTTTTCAACTTCTTTAGAGTACATCTCTATCACTCTACGATCAAATGTCTTAAACCCAAGATCTCTCTCTATAGCGAGAGCCTCAAATTGAGCACTATACAGACAAGACAAAATTTCATTAGCAATTCTTCGACTTAATGTATTGCAGAACATTTTTACAACCTTTTATGTCCAATAGAAACTAGCGCTCTGTCATCAGATGCCCCTCTTGCAACAAACACTAATATACGGCGAGAGTTCTATTGTACAAGTATCAATGCAATAAAATACGTTTAATGCTTACTAATAGAAATGTTATCATACTTTCATGCAATATATTTACCTTCACGTTATCAGTTACGATATATGCAAGCCTAACTAGTGGTCCAGGCTTAGTAAAAGTCACATGTGTGCTATTATCGATCTCAACCCAACCTCTCCTCTTTACTTGAGAGTCTGTGGTGAGATTTTTTATACAGACAGTTGCCTGAGTCATGATAATTTCTATCAATTTCTTGTACAATTCAATACCTTTGGACATTATCATAGCACTATCAAAGTATCAATCAATTATATGGTAAGCCTGAAGAGTTCTTATTTTTCCAATTGTAAAAATACATATATACTCACGTCTCTGTGTCTCCCAGAGCCTTTTCACATCTTAGCATTACCTTGGCTCGTTCTAAATCCCAACCATCTTTCTCAGAAAAATATGCACCATTTGATGAGCCACTTGCTGGGATTCTCGGATATGCGTCTCTTGCACCCAGATCATCGGCAACATATGGCCCTGCTTCTATTAATGCTGTCAGAGCAAAGACAGCTTCACTAGCAGTTAGCGAACCGGAAGAATGAAACTTCCACATAAAGGAGTGAAATGAAATATCTTGGAGTTTAACGTCATCTCGGTATTTATCCAGCTCAGCAAAGAATTTCTGACGTGTTTCACTTGGTATAAAATAATATGGTTCGAACCACCATTTCTTGGCAATACTGCAAAATAATAGACGAGTGAGACATCAAGTAGTAGGAAAGTTCAAACATACTTTTAGATAAAGATTCTCCTTGCTTAACAATGGAAATACTACACAGAACCTATAGACTCACCCAAGTTTCGTAAGCAGTTTTCCTAGTCTGGTAGTAGTTTTCATCTCGCGACCTTCGTCTTTCCTCGGATGATCCTCCAAATGAACTCCCAAAGCACTAAAAACGCTCTCCGAGTTTTGCATACTTTCATACAGCGTCCATTTATTTAATAATGCGTACCCTGGAGTTAACCATTCTCTTGTTAATAATAATAAGAAACATTAGTGGAAATTCTAATATTCTAATCGTATCAAAGGATATTCTTCTTGAACAGCCAAACGAATTCCGTTCGGTAAAGTTTCTCCAATTCTCCGGATTTCCTCCACGTAGAGCTTCGTGTACACCTCATAGACTTCATCTTTTATCTCTTTATTCAAAAACGCGCTCGTCAATCCAATTATTGCCCACCATAATCTTTGTTCAGATTCAATCCGTGTACCGTTTTGGAAAGCAATTTCGTAGAATTGGCATGAGACCGGACGGCCACGGGTTTTATCATCTGTTATTGAGTTGTCAACTAGGATTACCTGAAAAGGGAATTTTACAAAAAAAATTGATACAAGAGAAAGCAAAGCTTCGACAAAATAAAAACAAAATCTGTGACCAACCAATTTCTAGAAAAGACATCAGTTACCTGTTTATTATCCTCGTCAATATTTTTGTGATGCCAAGATCTTTTGCTATCAAATATGTATACTTTTAAATTCGGCGATGCTGAAAGGTTGAATAGCTTTTTCATATTTCTGTCTCCCCCACAATTGATCATAACAAATATCCTATAACTTGCGGTCTGTTATCGTATAATGTCAGCCGAGTTTTTAACTTATCTCAATGAATTATCTAGATTATATTCGCACCTCATTCCTCTCTTCGCTTCGATAATGCTCATTTACGTCCTCGTACTGTGATAAAAAACATGCCTTGAAGGGATGCGGATGTGGTGCATCAATTGTCAATAAATTCTTTGTCCATATTGACAGGGTATGTATAAATTAATGTCATTAATCAACTTGTGATTCAATGAATTCTTCTCTCGTGAATGATATACTTAACATACCGCCAAGACTGCATACCCACAGAGAGCCTGCGCTTCCATAGGGACAAACAATACCACCTTGTATGGTTTCAAGTTCGATGTTATTGTATCACGTATTTCACGGTACGCTTGATAGGCCTGTTGATTAGAATATAACATCTCGATGTTTCATAAAAGCCAAGCATCAAGTATCGCGACCGTCGCGACTATGTACGTGTAACAAAGAAGTATTGACGTCAATTCTGATGTTACACATAAACAAGCTATCGAAAACCAAGCTAGCACTGTCAATGTACACACCAAGCAACTAGAAAACCACCACCCAAAAAGGGTTCCTCTATGCTCGGGTCTCTAGTGTCAAGAAAAAGAGCAGAATGAACTCATCAGCTAATATTAGATCACGTGTCAATTTCAAACGACCGGGACTTAAGCCGCTTTGCCTTCAGAATTCAGAATATATTCCCTCCATACTACAGATATGGGGGATATAACTAAGAGTCCTGATCTTTGTCTTGCGCTTTTTTCCTGGTTCGGCGTTCTCGTCGCTCTTCTTCCTTGCATTTGGCAGATAAAGATTGCAAGGATATCTTGGAAAGTTCGTGCTCACAGAAATCAATTGGAAAAACTTAGAAATTTTCAAAACACTGCACGCATAGTACACCGATCAAATGATCATTGATGAGGATCAAGTCGATACCGTTACCAACATTTATACGTACGGGTGATTCTTATTTCAAAGAAAAGGAACACCATTTAAATATTATGGTAAAGGTAAAGAATTACCCTCCCTGTTTATTACTCTATCTATGGCCGAAACTAAATGGAAGCATCTAAGAGAATTCGTACGCTGCTAAACAAAGTGTATCCAAATCACCTTCAAAGCAGCTATTGAAACGTTGGATGGGCTTGACGAGATATGCTTATAATGCAGTTGTCCGGCTGGAGTTGATACCGCCGTTTCTATATCAAGGATTCACATATTGATCCATCACAACGGGTTTGGGTAAAATTACCACCTATTAAAGATAAGCTTAAACTTTCCACACGGATGTCCGTGTTATTATTTATTCCGCTTCTTGACTCCACGCAAACACCGATATACAAACCATCTAAAAACGACGTTGTTAGAATTTTCGGGGCGATCACTAAAATCACTAAGGATGAAGCAAGTAAAAGTATTCGCATCATTCGTGTTAATGGACATGAGGACAGGAAACTTCAAAAATCATGCGTATGGGGTGAACGCGAACTATTCGATTTTACAGCTTTGTGCGATTTTAAAATATAAACGATAAACGACAAATAAAAAACTTGTTTTAACACACTAAAATTCCTTTGCGTTTATGCTTCCTTTATTCAAAATGGTAAAATTTCTAATTCTATCACGCGAACTGAAATATGTTACTGTACTTCAGCTCCTCCTCATTAACGTGATCACGTGGTTACCAGGAAGAAAAACACCAATTCAGCTATTTGGGAAGAGGTTCGATCAAAATTTGAGGGGAAAGTCGTGACACACATATTCACGGAATAGGGCTTTCAGCATGGTAATGACCCAAACAGACCCTGCACAGTATAAACCTTCTCAACCTATCCAAGAGCATCAGCGAGTCAAATTACCACCAATCATCGCCCTTTTAAGATATCAACAGTGTAGAATTTTTGATTGGGCAGGCTTTGTGTAACAGTATTCTTTTAAGTTGCCGGTGAGCGCACATATTAACATTAAATATTGGTATTAAACAAAATTTTGATCCGTCATGAAACAACGATTTTCGGCGCTTGACGTCCGAGCTACTGTTTCTGACCTGAAAGAGCGGTATGTATCCATCGCATTTTCTTGTAAATGCTTTGATTCATTTTTTTATCCACCTTTTCGCTTGATCGAATAGTATTATCGGTCTCCGTTTACAGAACTTTTACGACATTAGTCCAAAGACGTATTTATTGAAATTTGCAAAGGTTTTGATCATTTTGCTTGATCCTCTAATCTCCTGTTTAATAAATATTATAACACTGCCTGTTCTTTTTCATACACTATACAAAAAATCTGAATTTTGAAATTGGTTTAACGGGTTGAATGTAGCCTGATAAGAAAGAATTTTTACTCGTTGAATCGGGCAATCGTATCCACACTACACAATTTACTCGAGACAAGTCGATCAGTCCCTCGACTTTCTGCATAAAGGTATCCTAGAACTGATCACGTTATTTGTCGGTATTACTAGCAAGGACTAATTCTGATTGTCTATCATAGATACGCAAACACATAAGAGCACGAAAACTGACAAATGTTAGGCAACTCGGCATTGATAGAATAATTGATTTTGAATTTGGCAGTTTTGGAGAAGGCACTACTTATCACTTAATAACCGAGTTCTATGCAGCCGTATGTGACTATGGCCAGTGAATTCTGAATACCTGCACGGGTGTTGTACTCACAATTCGTTTATGTTAATAGGGTAATATTATATTAACAGATGGCAGCTATACGATCCTCGCATTACTACGTGTCGTACAGCCAAAAGAAAACCAACGCATGGCAGTTGGCCATATATACGACATAAGTTCCGTAGCTAGAGATGCTGAAGCTATTACAATCTCAAGATTACAGAGTGTATTAAAAAATGCATCGCCAAAAGACACACTCAAAAAAGCTTTGATTTATGGTTTAAGTACGTAACCATTGATTCCCAAGACTCACCATATGTTCGAATATTAACGACACATTGAATTCTTTTTACTCCAGACTATGGACAATCGTTGACGGAACACGCTATATTAATAGCTCAATTGGATCCAACCCGGAAGATAGCGGACATAACTGATTTTTCCGATGGTACTTAGGTATTTAATAAATAAGTAATCAATATCGTACATCGAGACATCGGATATCTAACCAAATGGTATAATTGCAGATTCAGACCTGATGAAGGCCTTACTCAATGGCTTTCAAGAAGCTGATCGAATTATTTCAGAAAGTGCTAACAGGCCTCAAAAGGTATCTTTTGTCTTTATCGCAAAGTTGATAATTCTTGTACATTCACTGACGCTTAATATCGCTTAGGGTTATATAATTTATCGTAAACATAAAGAAAACGTTGAAGCAGATGACAATGAGAAGAAAAAAGAGCCCTTAACTACGTGCGTATTTTAGATTTATATTTACACGCGTATTCACACTTTCAATCTTACTTACGTAACTGTTTATCCTTTAGTTACGATGAATTCCATCCATTTCTTTTTGAACAACACAAATCAAAGCCATTCAAAGAATTCGACTCTTATGATGCAGCTGTTGACGAATACTTCTCCTCACTCGAATCTCAAAGACTCGACCTTAAGCAGCGGGCTCAAGAAGAGTTAGCCATGAACAAATTAGAGACTATTAGGCAAGAACAATTTGGCCGTGTTCAGGGTTTGGAACGGTCCCAATTAGAGAACGTGCGGAAAGCGAAGGTCATTGAGCAAAATATCGATATTGTGGATCAGGCATTATTGGTAATCAGACAGGCAATTGCATCATCTATGGATTGGAAGGATTTGGAGAACCTGGTAAAAGAAGAAAGGAATAAAGGCAACCCTATTGCCAATATAATAACAGGACTGAAATTAGGATCGAATCAAATAACCCTGCTTTTGGGGTATGTACTTATAAGAAATTTTCTAAAATTTGTCTTACAATACTTACTCTGGTCTGAAATATTCCTTAGTGAGCCTGAAGAAGATACATATCAGGACTCGGATGAAGAAATTGACGAGGAAGACAGCAAACAAGCGGCGTCCGAAGTTGACGTAGACATCTATCTATCTGCTTTCGCGAATGCTAGACGTTACTATAATGTCATGAAACAGTCTGCTGCAAAACAAGAAAAAACTTTACTTGCTGCTGACAAGGTACGAAAACGACTCTTTTTTTTTTCCCTTGTTATGTGAAGTGTCATTTATTTTCAAACTTTTTGTAGGCTTTTAAAAGCGCGGAGAAAAAAATCCAACACGATCTCCGAGAAACAAGAATAACAGCTTCAATCACGCAAATTCGTAAAACTTTCTGGTTTGAGAAGTTCTGGTGGTTCATCTCATCTGAAAATTATCTTGTCATTGCTGGGCGGGACATGCAACAGAATGAGTTGATAGTAAAAAGACATCTTCGAAAAGGCGAGTTTGGCCACCTTATCTTTACTCGGTGCAGTATTGTGAACCAAGTTCTCAACGTTGTTCACTTTTTTTTTACTTGCAATACTTTGGTTACAGGCGATGTCTATGTTCACGCTGACCTACATGGTGCCGCGTCAGTCATAATAAAGAATTCTCACGAAGGTCAGCCAATACCTCCAAGTACGCTCTACCAAGCAGGAGTTATGTCTGTATGCATGAGTAAAGCTTGGGATGCAAAAATTGTTACTAGTGCCTATTGGGTACATGCTGAACAGGTACCTATATTAATGTTCTTCTATTTTAACTTATGATTATTTATGTGGTCGTCAACATAATAACGCTCTTTCCTATCGCAAGGTATCAAAAACTGCACCAACTGGGGAATATCTTACCACTGGTTCATTCATGATTCGCGGTAAGAAGAATTTTCTCCCGCCTGTTCAATTGGCGTATGGATTTGGAGTCATGTTTAGATTGGATGAGCAGAGTTATGCCAATCATCTTCACGAAAGACGGCCAATGATTGCCGACGATGACGATGAAGAGAGAGAAATGGGAAACAACGAATTGAGCCAAGTATGTTGTTGAGAGGGAATAGACAATTATCAAAAGATTTTTTGTGCAATCTGCGAGCAAGAATAAGAAACTTTTACTCATGGCATTGTTTACAGAACGCGGCGGAGATAGAAAACAAGGATGAGAACAACCGTGAAATTGGTAGGTCATATCGTAACGATTATGATAAATTTCTATCCTATTTGTTAATCCTTTTTTATTGCGGTAATAATTTCAATTAAGATGATGGCGAAGATAATCTGTCCATATTGGATGATGATACTATCAGTCAAGAGACAGAAACATCAGTTCAACCCGTTGACAACGAAACTAAACCGAATACTGAGCTGGCTGACCATACATCTACCGAACTGAAAAGTAGAAGAGATTCCGAGAGTAACGTGGGGTCGTCTCTTGTTGGTACATGGGAGAAGTACAGTCTTGACGAGTATGGCGACGACCTTGATGAGAGAGAAAGAACTGAGCAACCAAGGGTTGAAAAAATATTAATTTTGTTATTTATTTGTTCTCGTGGCCTAATTTATGAACTCACATTTTATTACCTCAATGCATATATAGACCCGAAAACAATATATTACAGCGAAAGAGAGGCGAATGATGAAAAAGCAAAAAAACAGACCAATCTCTGAAGATGCTACTGCCACGATTATTGCTGACCTTGTTGATGACCCCTCCCAAAATAAAGGTAGAAAGGCAATACAGGAGACTAAGGTAAAAAAAAAAGATCTCAATATGACATATTTTTTGACCAGTGTCACACTTGCGCATAACATGCTCTCTGCGCAAATTAGCAGTCAACCCCACCACAGCCGCCGGTTCGCGGTAAGAAAGGTCGATTACGGAAAATGAGAGAGAGATATGCGGATCAAGACGAAGAAGAGAGACAACTGAGGATGGAGCTGTTGGGTGTATGTCACCAATGTCATATTTTGCCATTCATCAGATTGTTATTACTATTAACAATTCATACGCTGACAACGTTATAATATCCATGCGTTGTATAGTCTAATAGGGGTCCCCAAAGTAGGGGCAGAAAAGAAAGGAAAGATGCTGAACGTAAGGCTACTTCACAAACTGGCAAAGATTCGGCGAGAAAAGGGCCTAAGCATGAACAAACGGGTGAAACTAGCGAGAATACACTAGAGGTACAAAAAAAGGGGGGACTTGAATGAAGTTACTTATTGAACAAACATCAATTGGTCGAGCAGCTCCTGAAGGCGGAGTCTTCGAGTTCCATGCGTAAAGATGTAGAATGGCTAAATAACTTTGTATAACGCATTATATTACAGAACCAAGCAGCAGTGGAAGAGTTGCAAGAAGCAGAAGAAGTTCGTCAACTTTTTAAGGACGAAAATATTACGTTCTTGGAAGGCAGCGAGGCTGTGAGTGCGCGTTCGTGACTTGATTTTATTTATAAGTGTAGGAAATGTACTTACAATTTTATATTACAGGATAATCTCACAATACTTGATACATTGACTGGTACTCCATTTGCAGACGATATCCTGCAATTTGCTGTTCCTGTGTGTGCCCCGTACGCTGCCTTACAGAAGTATAAATATAAAGTCAAGCTACTTCCTGGGACAATGAAGAAAGGAAAAGGTACTTATATTGTTTACTAACATAGAAGGATCAAAATGTAATGTTGCACCTGACTCACCAATTGTCTGTCTCTGTATCGGTATAGCATGTAAGGTTGCTACAAACTTCTTCCTCCATGTCCCTGATATTACGCCAAGAGAAAAGGAATTAATCAAGAGTATACCCGATGAAGAAGTGATGCTTGTGTTGCTCGGCAAATGTAAAGTAACAGCACCAAATATTGAGAAATCAAAAATGTTGGCGAGGAAAACAGCCAGAAGCAATACACTTGACACAGGAATCAAGGACCTTAAATAACGTGAATGGCCGTAATATTAAGCGATATTTAATGAATAAATGAATAAAACATTAACATTAATATTAATGACAATTGTTCGTGGAGGATTTCATCACAGAGTTGTCTTCAAGACGCATTCAGTGATGCATATTAATATTTTCGCTTAGCAGGATAATTTCGGGAACACATTCGGGCTGAACTTTCGGCTTTAAGACCTGGAGACTTACCAACAGCAATCAAAGGCCAGCGTGAATGGGATAAAATTGTCGATTGTTATGCACTTAATCTATCTCCAGCAGTGGAAACCTATATCGAAGTTGAATATCAGAGATGCTTATCAGCCAAATATTTTCCCGAGATTCTTTGTAGCCTAATTGCGAGTTAATTTAGCAGAAGGCATCAAAGTTGCTAGGAAAGAAGTTTCTCGTACTATTAAGAATATTGAGAAAAAAATTAAAGGTGCAGATGCAGAATTAATAGTTAATGCCCCAGATATTAGCTGAGATTCTTAAACAAAATCCTATATGCTCTTTTACTGATAGCATTACTCTGCAACGACATTATTGGAGGTAAAGATGATATTCGAAACTGCAAATACATAGCTCATGCCAGAGATTATTTCCTGAGCAAGTGCAAATTCAAGATATAAACACTGGGTACTGCAAGCGTTCAGTGTAATTGTTCTGACCCATTTCTGAATTTGACCCACTTCCGAATCGGGTCAACCCATTTCCGAATTCTGATATGGGTCAACCC